ACTCGGCCTGGGGCTCCATGCAAGATCTCACCTCGTGGAGTTGCAATGATCATGAGAACGGTGAGGAATCAGCCCAGAACTACACGGGAGGATCTTGTCAATGATCTCAAGGCAGCTGGGACCATAGTCACCAAGAAAACAATTGGTAACACACTACGCCGTGAAGGACTGAAATCCTGCTGCGCCCGCAAGGTCCCCCTGCTCAAGAAAGCACATATACATACCCGTCTGAAGTTTGCCAATGAACATCTGAATGATTCAGAGGACAACTGGGTGAAAGTGTTCTGATCAGATGAGACCAAAATGGAGCTCTTTGGCATCAACTCAACTCGCCGTGTTTGGAGGAGGAGTAATGCTGCCTATGACCCCAAGAACACCATCCCCACCGTCAAAAATGGAGGTGGAAACATTATGCTTTGGGGGTGTTTTTCTGCTAAGGGGACAGGACAACTTCACCGCATGAAAGGGACGATGGACGGGGCCATGTACCGTCAAATCTTGGGTGAGAACCTCCTTCCCTCAGCCAGGGCATTGAAATGGGTCGTGGATGGGTATTCCAGCATGACAATGACCCAAAACACACAGCCAAGGCAACAAAGGAGTGGCTCAAGAAGAAGCACATTAAGGTCCTGGAGTGGCCTAGTCAGTCTCCAGACCTTAATCCCATAGAAAATCTGTGGAGGGAGCTGAAGGTTCGAGTTGCCAAACGTCAGCCTCGAAACCTTAATGACTTGGAGAAGATCTGCAAAGAGGAGTGGGACAAAATCCCTCCTGAAATGTGTGCAAACCTGGTGGCCAACTACAAGAAACGTCTGACCTCTGTGATTGCCAACAAGGGTTTTGCCACCAAGTACTAAGTCATGTTTTGCAGAGGGGTCAACTACTTATTTCCCTCATTAAAATGCAAATCAACTTATAACATTTTTGACATGCGTTTTTTCTGCATTTTTGTTGTTATTCTGTCTCTCACTGTTCAAATAAACCTACCATTAAAATTATAGACTGATCATTTCTTTGTCAGTGGGCAAATGTACAAAATCAGCAGGGGATCAGGTATATTTCCCCTCACTGTACGTGTTCGGTGTACGGTGTTCACGTATAACGGGCGGAAGGTGACGGAGGGGTGGATGCAATGTGCTCTGAACCCAGTTCGATTCCAGGCCATGGGCTAACATGGTTTGGCGAGCGATATCTGAACAGGTCCTGGCCCGCATCACTTTGATCAGGACCAGCATGGTGAAGTATGGTCAGACGAACCTCATGACATAGGCCATGCGAGTAGATGTCCTTCATCCAGCAGTGGATTGACAAGGGTCATGTATATATATTTTTTTTACTGCTGTAACGCAAGAATCAGAGCTGGCCATTTTCGCATGGAATAGCTAAAGAGACAGCGAGCACATATCAACCAAGCGTTAAAGGGCGAGCTTTAATGCTGCACTTGGATTTACAATAGGTTCATTATGCGGGCTTGCGTGTGATGTGATGTAAAAGTATTAGGGCACCCACGTGGCTTCCATACAAATTAGATGAAATGAGTTGCGCACATGCACACCGCCATCAATAGACAGACCCCCTGCATTCACTGTAATGTATACGCAACGCAATATTTTTCATTGACCAGCACTGCTTACACGTTTTGGCATTACAATGCACGTATGTGTATGCAGCCATTCGTCAAGAAGTGTTTTCTGAATGCATTTCTTTGAATGTTCGTTACGATTAACGTTGCTTTCCTTCCTCCCCACCCACCCCACCCACCCCCAAATTGTTACGGTTTAAAGTCATGGTTCAATTTAAGCATCGATCATTTTACTTTGCCTCATTTTAACCATCTCGATCGTATTGCTTGCTCAATTATTCCGTCCTGTTGGCACGGTTTTCTTTTGGTCCGTTATCCCAAACAATCGTTTATAATCGATTGTTATTAATTATTAATTATTAAACGCGACAAACCCCCCCCCCCCCCAGAGAGCATGTACCTGTGTACGTCAAAAATGTATTACATTCGAACAATAATCTCATTATATTCAGTGTGATCGCCGGTCGGTGTGATCGCCGATCGGTGAGGAGCTGCTACGGTGTGGTTATAACGTTCATGGCGTGACACGGCCACAACCTGCTGAGCTCGTGTGTGTGTGTTTTAATGTTTGCTCTCTTCTCACTTTGTTGCATGTCATTTGGCTCTAAGTTTGCCTTGACCACTTTATCCGGCGCATGCTGTATCGCGCGTTCTATTTTTGACGTGTCACTGTATTTAGATGCTTTGTGAATTTTCATTATTCGTCCTCAATACTTTGTTTAAATTTTTATTATTATTTTTTTCTAGCCGGGAAGGCTCCATTGAGCTAAGCAGCTGGGTGGGGCTGGGTGGGGAGGGTGGGGAGGGGCTGGGTGGGGAGTGTGGGGAGGGGCTGGGTGGGGAGTGTGGGGAGGGGTTGGGTGGGGAGGGTGGGGTGGGTGGGGCTAAGTGGGGGGTGGGAGGGGTGGGGCTGTGTGGGGAGGGGCTGGTCACCTCGTGGTGCCCTTATAAAACTCAACGTTTAACCTACTCACGCCGGCTTGTGCCCGCCCTCACAGTCGGGCATATTTGCGGAATACACCACGTGGTGCCGCCGTTGACCCTGGGAATTGACCGAGCAACCCAACGTTCCTACCAGCTCCCTCCGCAGGAGAATGTGTTACAGGGACCGCCACGCTCCAGAACCGTCAGCAGGGGTGGCAGTTTAAGTGGTGACATTCACAGGATGGGAATGTGCAAACTAAGAGCAAAACATATTAACACAAATTATATACACACGCGGATAAACCACATATACACGACGAACATAACGGTGCTTAGTTATCGCTGTTATTCCTAATAATTGTATTTGATCAAAGTGTAAATAGGAAGTATGCATGCACGTTGAACTTCTTTCGCACCGTACGTAGCCAACCGTGCTAATCGGAGGTGCGGACTTCACGTGGCTCTGTGTACCGCGTTCGCTGCTTTACGGTTGCAATCCAGCGGCCACCCTGGTGACTACTGCGGCTGCCTTAACCGCAAAAAAAAAACACGCCGTCTGCTTCAGAGTGGACACGAAATATCCCGTGACGTCATTCATAAGAGTAGGCCATTGTGTGACGTCATCAGGGTCAATACTTGCTCTGTATAATCCCAATTTTCTCAATTGCGATCATACAGTGCAATCATTGCCTCCTACTGCGGAAACTTGACAGCAACGATCATGAAAAAGTCACGTGACGCAGTGAGGCTTACCTGGGTGAACAAGAGTGAAAAATAAAATGCGTGACGTAGTCACACGTTGTTCCAGGTGATACATTACTGAATATATTTGCACGGCGCTGGTTGGTTGGGGTATCCACGTGACTAAAAGTAGCCACAGCTACGAATGAGAGGTATAATGGATGCGGTGTGCCGGATGAGGAAATCTTTTCTGATTCGCTCACTTGGACAGACCCGGATGAACAGCACTTGGATGCATGGACGCACCGAATGTGTGTTGCAATGTACGTGACGGCACATGTGGTGTAAGCATGGGTAAAGACAGTTGCATAGGAGATACACATGGAGCCAACTTAATATATGAGGCTCATAAGCCATATAAAACGGTATATGTATGATGTCTATAGGGCTAGAGTCCATCGAAATATGTCTCCGGGTGCATTGCAGCTGTTGTTCAGCAGATATCGTGATTATTCTCGTGGTATATTACATTATCGTTTCAGATTAGTAGTATATCCACTCACACGTGTGGACCTGGATAGTCACTCAACAGGGCATGTGCTATAACCAACACCAATACGTGCCATTCGCCTCCCAGTGACAGTGACGTCACCGTAGCGCCTGTGCCAGGCCAGGTACACTTTGTGGTGCTATATGTGTTCTATACAGACACATATAGGCACCAAATTGTGGAACAGTACACTTGAGTGCCAGACTAAGGCACCTTTAAAGTTCTAAATGTGTTCGGCTGAGGCTCACGGAGTCAGACTAAGACACTCTAGGTCTCTCAGGGGCTCAACATATTCTTGCCTAAGACTCACAGATTGAAAAGGGGGCTTTAGAATTATTCGAATTCAGTGGAATCGCCGAAGCTCGAGTCAGATTAAGGCAACTTTACAAGTCTCGGGGTCAAATGTTAATTCCCAAAAATTATAAAGCCAGTATCAAGGGGAGTATAAACTTTCACTCCCTTTATGCGGTTTATAGAGCGATGACATCAGCTAGTGCTTAGTGGGTCATGAAGTTGATCATAGGCTCATAAGTGATTGCGACACCTAATAAGTATATGGCACGTGACGTGTTAATTCACATTTCAAATAAATAAATTAGGTCTATAGAGGCAAAGTATATATATGTCGACAGAACCACTATTGCATGAATCCTATACAAGGCCCACTGCTTATATCTATAGAGATACACAGTATTAGCGTGTCTGTAATGCTACATGTAGAGTATATGACGTCTCTTAAACCACATTGTATATGGCACATATGGGAGCTACATAGAGCCACCGTATATGTATAATGGTAAATACATATATATGTATAATGATAAAGACATATATATGAAGTCCGTAGGGCCATGTTGTAATGGACTCCTCAGTTATATAGAGGAAGAGTATACGAGCTTACAGACAGTTCTGCAGAGCCACAGGATACACACGCACACAGCTCAAAGAGGCACAGGGTGCGGGCATCAATTGGCAGCTACAGAGTGGACAGCGCTGCTCCGTGTAACCCCGCGTGACCCCGGCATGGCCCCGGCGTGACCCCGCGTGACCCTGCGTGACCCCGTGTAACCCCGCGTGACCCTATTTAACCCCGCATATGACTCCGCGTGACCCCGCATGGCCCAGCCTGACCCCACGTGACCCTGTGTAACCCCATGTGTGACCCCAGCGTAACCCCGCGTGTGACCCCGCATGACACAGCGTGACCCCACGTGACCCCGCGTGACCCCGCGCGTGACCCCGCGCCGCAAGTGCGGTCGCTACCCGGTGGACGGCCTCGTCCAGGTCGTGCACGCAGTTGTCGGAGCCGTTGTTGCGGCTCACGGCCTCCCACAGCTTGGCGTAGGTGCCGTGCTCGGGCCCCACGGGATTGGCGGCGCGCGCTCGCAGCTGCTCGTAGAGGCTCGAGTGCAGCACCGTGCCGTACGACATCTCCGTCTGCCTCGCGAGCTCCTGCAGCGAACTGGGGGGCGCGGAGAGGGAGGGGGGGTGCAGGTGAACACTCGGAAACACGAGGGGATCTCCGTCTGCCTGCAGTGAACAGGTGAAGAACGGGAAACACGACTGTGCACACAGGGTCAGTCAGCATCACAGAGAGTTGGCGGTGGCAAAGCTGGACGGAGGGTAGGCCGGCCGGAGCGCCCGGCTGGGGTGGCGCACCTGATGGGGCTGGTGAGGCGCGACAGGGTGAGGTAGGCGGCCAGGCTGGCCGTGTAGGACGAGACGACGATGAGCGTGAAGAACCACCAGACGGCCACCATGACCCGCGCCGACACCGACATCAGCACCAGCTCCCCTCCTAGGCGCAGCGCGGAGGGGGTGAGAGGCGGGGGGTAAGGGAGGGGGGGGGATTGCAGTGGGGGGGGGGGCACACAATGACGGGAAAGTAATTGTGGGAGGGAAAGACACAGGCCCCCCAGGGGAGGGTTAAACTGGGATAGAGAAGGAACCCGTGGGTGATCAGGCGTGGAGCAACCGGGGGCAGCTCCACAGGGGGAGAAGGGGGCACAGAGAAAGCAGAAGCTACCCGAGGTTGGTTAAGCACATCAACGAGGCAACCTGTGACCACCCTTCTAAATTTGTCGAAACGCAAGCGCGGCGAAAGCGTGAGCAGGGTGAGTGGTGATATTTTTTTTCGCACCGTGCCGAATAAAACGCGGTACGGCCAAACAAAAAAAAACAAACCGAAGAACTTCAGGGCAAACAGCCGCGAGAACCTACGCCGTAGAAATGCTCACCCTGCTGCATCAGCGAGCCGTACACGAGCCACAGCGAGCCAGGCCACGTCCTCCCTCTGGCGTCCGCTGCCATGGTGCTCCCGGCCGGTCGTCCCTGAATTCCGCCGCCGCCGACGGCGCCGGCGCCGACGCCGCCGCCCTCTCGCTGGCACGCGGGGCCGGCGCCCGGCACGCCGGCGACGGCCGTTCCCCCGGGGCCTCCCCGCCGCGCGCCGATCGAGTTGAGCCTGTGCACGACGAGGGCGACGATGGGAACGCAGGCGGCCAGGCCGGCCCACACGGTGGGCGCGAAGGGGGCGAGGCACGAGAAGAGGTCGGCGTGCCGCTGGTGGTGGTGTTGCTCGCGGAGCATGATGGCCACGCCGCGGTCCATGAAGCGCTTGGTGAAGTCCACTACGCTCTCGCGCTCCGGCGTGATGGTGACGGCGCCGATGCCCACGTCCGCGCGCTGCCGGGGCACAGAGCGGCGCACGCTCGGGATGACACTCAGGAAAGGGGACGGGCTTATCGCGCCCGTGCCCGGTGGGGGGGGGGGGGAAGACGCGGTGAAAATCGGAAGGAAAGAATGTATGTGTGTTGAACTTCTTTCGCACCGTACGTAGCCAACCGTGCCGAGTTGGCTTGGGCCGGCACATGCGGTTCGATCGCGAGCCGCCGCTCATTGCTCGTCGCGGTTCAATGACCCATTGCCCACCTGACCTGGCCACCCGACGGCGGACGTGATCGGTAAATAAATCAAGATGCAATAAAATAAGAAAAGCATTGTTGTTGTCTTCGTCGCATTCTACATTTCTCGGCAATCCGTGATTGGAATTGCCGAAGTTGCTTATGTATTGCATTGTCGACGTTTATTGTGAGCATTTAGGTTTTAGTGGTTAAATATTGGTCTGCAGAGCCAATATTCCAGATCAACGAAGACGTTTTTTTTAAATGTTTGCGTAAAGACACAATTCCAACGAGACGGAAGAAGACCAGATCCAAAATGTATCTTCGGCTCGCATCGCGATTCCAAATCGTGGATATTCATGGGGTTACGTGAATTCACTGCCTCGCCTGGCACACAGGAAGTTGTGGGTTACATCCCGACTCCGACGCCTGTATATTTGGAGTTTGTGTGTCTCTCCTACCGTGGTCGTGTGGATTTTTCTCTTAGTCCTACGGTTTTTCACTCCACATTTAGAATCAACATCACGCGTTTAGAATGTTTGCCTGCTATCAATTTTCACGTTATAAGCCACTTCGTTAAGCTATTATTTGTGGCCAGGTCGCTTCTTAAAAAGAGCTGTATAGCTCAGCGGGCCTTACCTAGAAAATACAAAAAAGATAGCTTAGTTTATAGTTAAGCGCCTAATTCACACCAAAACATGTGTTCCGGTTTGTGCTTGGACACACCCCCGCGTATTAACAGAACTGTTGTGTGGGCCTGACTAATGAGCAGATTCTCACAATCACGAATTACATGACCATCAGACATGTTGTTTTTCACACGGGATTTGTTAAAGTGAAATTTGGTTTTGTTTCTCTTCTCTATCACTTAAACATTAACAGGCACTGCCAGCAGAGAGTGTGGGGTGTGTGTGTGTGGTGTGTGCATCAGATTTGTTGCATCCGGTTTATCGGTGGTGATCATTTTGATTCCCAGGATCCATGCTAGAGGCCCTCGCTTTGTAATCGCGGCGCTCATGACTGCCAAATGATTGCGCGTGGCTGCCCCTGATTCATTTCCTCTCCGCACCGCATCGAGAGCACTGAGCGAGATTAAAGTTGCAGTTCACGAGCGAGGGTTATAAGCGCTGTACAGGTCATTGCACGAGTGTGTGTGAGTGAGACTCTGCACGTCTGAATGAGCCGGTAAGCAAGCGTACGCGTGTGGCTGTGCACGTGACTGGGTGTCAGTAAGCGAGTGTAAGTGTGCGTGCATAAGTGTCAGAGTGGGGAGCCGTAGCGTAGCGGTTAGCGCGCTGCGCTATGACCCGAGTTCGATTCCTGCTCATGGCTAACACCGGTGACGATTATCTGAACCTCGACTCAGCCTCAAATAAATACCTGGTGCGGTGTGTAAACATCGCCACTGGGGAGACACAGGCAGTCAGGCGTGGTGCTGGCCACCCACCCACTCGTGTACCGTGCCGGGCTTCATAGGTGCTCACTAATAGCACTTTCCCCAACAGCCTGTTGAAGGCCAAACCGTGGGATCTTTGTGCGTGCGTGCGTGCCTTGTGCAGGATCTCCCCGAGCAGGCCGCTCCAGGAGCCGCCGGGCCCCGGGCGGCCGTAGCTGTTGTCGGGCGCCTGGTAGAGGTCGTAGGTGAATCCCAGGTGGCGCGACAGCTCCTCCAGCACGTCGACGGCGAAGCCCACGAAGCGCTTGGGCTGACCCAGGACGTTGTCCGACATCATCACGAACGGCGGGTCCTGCCGGCCGGATGTCAGAGGGGGTAACGGCACTCTGGTCTTTCTGTTGGCTCTCGGTACTTTTGGCCCTTGGTCTCTTAAAGGGTTGGCCACCACTGATATAGAGAGTACGACAGTTTAATTCGTGCACAAATACTGTGCAGGGTGCAGTATTAGATGCATTATGAATATATATGAATAATGAGATAATATATTAACTGAAATAACTTAAAGAATCAACTATTAAAATGTTTTAATGCCGGCATAGAAACAAACTTTATGGGCCACATTCTTTGGTTCTTTTGGACAAAGTCACGTAGATAGCAAAATAAAAATAAAGTGAATAAAAAAATGAAATAAAAATAATAAGACACTAATGTAGACTGTAGCCTGGTTATTAAGTTTGATGAGTGTACTGGCAGTCTGTAATGTAGACTGTAGCCTGGTTATTAAGGTTGGTGAGTGTACTGGCAGTCTATAATGTAGACTGTAGCCTGGTTCTTAACCTCAGTGAGTGTACTGGCAGTCTGTAATGTAGACTTATTCTTTGGTTCTTTCGGTAATAAAATAAAAAAAATGTATAATCGGTGACAATTTTGAGAGATTTCACCGCTATGTGTTATTGACGAAGTGTTACGGTAATTGACGAAGTGTTATTGCCACGAGTGCAATTTGTACGTGCATGCTATATCTATATATCTATTTTATTATTTTATATTAACTTGATGAACTTATCTCTCTTACTCTTGCATCCTGTCTTGTATTTCTTGTTGATGTAACTTGCTGACACACAGCCCCTACTGGACCTCTGCAAAAAAAAACTTCATAGCTTATCAGATTCCATCTCGAGTATAACTAAAGATCCGGATTCTGAGATGTAATCTCCCTCGCCTGGTATGAAGGAGGTCGTGGGTTCGATCCCGACTCTGACGCCTGTATATTTCCACGTGATAAGCCACTTTGTTGAGCTATCATATGTGGCCAGGTCACTTCTGGAAATAGAGCTACATAGCTCAGTGCGGCCTAACCTGGTAAAAAAAAAAAAAATTCGTTTATGGTTTACGTTTAGTCTACCGCATTTGTTCTCTTAGCTCACCAGTACTGTAACCACTCTGAGGGTGACTCCCTTGAGGTTGTTCTCCAGGAGCCGGTCTCTCAAGGTTCCGTTGAGTCCGTTCTTTGGGTCCCAAAGCGCGAGCTGTTCACGGCAGACGACCGTACACAACCGACGAAACGGCCGCTGTCACGTCGTGCTAGTGCAGGTCGCCCAGGATCCACAGCGTGATTTATGGCGTCGGCAGGGTGGGGATAAAAAAAATCGAGACGGTGATTTCACCGTAAGGTCTTACAGTTAAACAACACAAAAGTTTTGGCTTATCGTTGCCGGAATGTAATCGGGTTCGTTGTAAGGCACGTGGAGGTTTTTTTATTTCATTTTATAATAAAAAAAATATATAGTTTTCTCGAAATAAGAAAAACGGGGACAATAAAAGCCATTTATGAAAAGAGCTGCCGTGCACATAAACTGGTTGGCTGAGCCGCGCTCAGACCCGCGACCACCATAATACGTTCTGTACGTGCTACAGGCCGGGAATAAGAATCTTATCTACGTGGGTATGTTGAACTTCTTTCGCACCGTACGTTGCCAAAGGTGGGGGAGAAGGACAACAAACTAAACAATCTAGACCTCAAATTGTAAATACGTATCAAATCGTAGTTACAGTGACTCATTACATCTAAATAAGGCGTTTTTTGTTAATAATTACGACAAAAAACCCTTTTTATTCAGCAGTGAAATTGACCCTTTTGTGCAAACCGAGGATAACATCACATGATCGACCGCCTTTCGATACAATGTGAATTCACGTAGCGTCTACATTCGGCCGTATTTCAACCACACCGCAGAAACGGTGTGTAGGAGGGAGTAAGCAGCGCCGTGGTTCGTGGCCTCAACTGTGCACCCGGTGACCCCCGAGTTAGAATTCCGGTCACGGCCAGCATCTGTGACGAGCGATAAATGAGCCGGTTCCTGGCTCTCTCCCATTTCTGCTTCACCAACCCGCAATGACCAGTGTGGTGAAGTATGGTCGAAACCCCCCATGGCTGACGGTGGCATTCAGATGCCTTCATCTAGCGATGGACTGAGGACTCTTAAGTTATGCCCGTACTCTAAATGTATTGTGTACACACGTGAAAGGCTATACATGATCAAAAAATAAGTGGGTTTTAAATAGAAAAAAAAAATCTAATTTCATAACAATCGCAATGTAATTGAATTATTTAATGCATGTTAGATTTGATGACTCACGGTGAGGGAGAAACAAGGGCGTTTTAGTGTGATGGTGCACAATAAACGTTGGACTGGCCTACATTTCATTAACATAAGAATAATAATAACAATGCCGATGATTTACCTAAGAAAGCCTCATGGAGTGGTGAGACTGTTCCTCAAGGGTCTTGCATTTGGATTGTTTGCAGATGATTGTGATTCAGCGAATGATGCAAGTTTTAAGGAAGTTCCTCCTATTCCCGCACCACCGATTAGCTCGGTTGGCCAAGTACGGTGCGAAAGAAGTTCAGCATACATACGGGTCGCCGATTCACTTCAGCTTCCAGGCCTGGCAGTCGAAACAACGGTGCAAGGTTCTTAAATGCCCTCCCCGCCTCTGTCCACTCCGGTGGTATAAATGTGGCGTACAGCACTTTCACATCTTTTAAGATGTCTCTGCAGCAGGGAAGAGTAGGCCAAAACAACCTCAAGTGGATCTCCCTCTAGTGTATGTGTGTTGAACTTCTTTTGCACCGTACATAGCCAACCATGCTAATCTAAGGTGCGGGGGGGGGGGGGGGAAGGACAACAAACTAAACACAAAAATCAGTTTCGTAGAAATGAGCTTTCAATCTAGATTTAAAAGTGCATAGCTCCAGTGGCTTCCGAATATTAAAAGGAAGAGCGTTCCAGACGGCCGCAGTTGTGTGTAAGTGCGGCAGTACCACGGTGGACCCCCGTGCGTGTGCGATGGTAACTTGGGTAGGCAAATGCAAATGGCCACGTACGGTGGCGAAAGAAGTTCAACATACATACAGAAGAGTTATATGGCTGAAATGTGCCATATACACAGGCCTGCCTATGCTTACAACTAGATCGATCCAAAAGCAAAACTTTTATGGAAGTGGGCCAGTGGAAATTATTGCATGGAGCATGATTCGTTTTGCTCATGAGGCCCGCCTCAGCCCGAATTCTGAATTCTTTAAATGAGAATAACGAACAATCAACTTGTAACGCGCACGGCATCGATTGACTCGGAGGCACGAGAAAGCAAGGACAAAAGTGGGAAGACAGCCGGAGCGATGAGCCGGCGCCAACAATTGCCCAGGGTCTACGGACCCCTACAAAGATGCGTTTTCGGCCAATTAATGAGTGAAGAGGAGATCTGGAGAACACAGAGAAAACCCACGCATAATCCAGCACTGTGGAGGCAAGGGTTGGTGGATCACACAAATGAACAACCCAACCGGCAATGGATACCCATTGTAATGAATATTCATTCATTAATCCCCCCCCCACGTGAAGGGCTCACAAGCGACGTCATCACATCTATCCCTCTACGGAACGAAACAGGAGGATTTCTCCACAAATCTTGCTGTCGCCAGGTAATGTTGTTGCTTTGCCCTCCAACAGGCCGGTGTGTTGTACTAGTAACGAATTGGCCACGTTCTGTTTACCTTACTAATTGGCTGTGTTGGGTGGTGGCGGGGTTGAACGACACATTTATATTTACGCGATCTAACCCGAAAAAAACCTTTGTTATGGATGATATTGGTCGCAAAAGCCTACTAGGTGTTAAAATGTCGTCAAACTCCCTCCCCGTCAGCGTCGAGCTGTCAAACCCTGGGCTTGTCACAAGGCGGCAGTGCGGCAAGATGCGGACTACACCTGTGCCATCTGCATGGGACAGACCGGTGGTGGGTCGGCCAAACCAAAATAACAAAGTTGGAGCCATTTTTTTAAAATAATTCAGTGAAGAAAACCCCTCGATACAGGGTGCATCAGAAAAAAAAGATTTCAACACTTCTGAGAATTTGCAACAACGCCACGAGAAATGTGCCTCCGGGCTCTGGTTGCCGACCCCTGGGATAGAGCGTTGCCGCCTCACACGTGTGGGGTTTGCCTCCGGGTGCTCTGTTGTCCTCCCACATGTAAACACTCCTTCATTGGCCAATAACGCCTTAACATATGGACAGGACTCCAGAGCTTCGGGTGGGGGGGGGGGGAGATTTGGCGGTGGCACACCGCGTGGCAAATCGTTTTTACCCCTTGCGACGGGTGAACGCCAGAATGGACGGGAAGTGGGTGAACTTGCCCAGCAATTAGTAGCACCCCCCAAACTTGCACTCATTACAGAAAGCACCTGCATGGGAAAAACAACTAAGTAACAATGTCCAAGTAGATTTCAAGCTTTCGTAACTGCAAGGATCCATACTCTTTGGTTCTATTCGGTAAAGTCACTTTACCGAATAGAACCAAAGAGTAATGTCCAAGTAAGAGTACCCCTAGCACTCGCTTCGTTACGTCTGTCGCCCCCGCCCCCCACACACTCTGACCATGAGCGTGCGTGTTCATCGCGGCGATTGCGAGTGCTCATTACCCGGCGCACGGTTTTCTCCTGGCCGCCGTCGGCGTAGCTCGTGCCCAGGACCTCGAACTGCACGTTGGGGTTCACGCCGAGCTCATTAAACTGGAGCTCTCCCGTCAGCCCCCACACGCGCCCCTGCCAAACCCCCGCGGACACAAAGAAAAAGGATCCCCCGTGGAGCCTTAACAGACTGTCGGGGGCAAGTGTTGTTAGTGAGCACATATGCAGGGGACACACGCACGCACAGACACTGGTAGATGTGCGTGCAGCAAATGCACACGCAGGTGAATGCAGATACAGCCAAGGATACACAGATAAAGACATAGATCCTCCGTTGAGCCTTAACAGACTGTCGGGGGCAAGTGTTGTTAGCGAGCACCTGTGAAGAGGCACACTCATCCACGCACAGACGCACGCAGATACGCACGCAGGTGAATGCAAATAGAGCCAATGATGCACGTAGATACAAAGAGAAAGACAAAGATCCCCCGTGGAGCCTTAACAGACTGTCAGGGGCAAGTGCTGTTAGCAAGCACCTATGAAGGGACACACGCACGCAAAGACGCACGCAGATTAATGCAGATACAGCCAAGGATGCACGTAGATGCACAGAGAAAAACACAAATCCCCCCATATACCCTTAACATTCTGTTGGGTGAAGTGCTGTTAGCGAGCACCTATGAAGGCCGGCACGGCACACGGAGAGGGGTGGGGTTGGCCTGTCTGTGCTTGTGCCATCACCTTACAGAGAATGATAGCGCAGTGGCTAGCGTATTGCGCTACGAACCCGGCGACCTGAGTTCAATTCCCGCTCAGTTGTGAATATCTGAACTGGGCCTGGGGCATCCCGAAGATCGACTCAGCCTTAAATCAGTCCCCGGCCGTGGTGCTGGCCACCCATCCCCTCGTGTGGCATACCGGCCTTCATAGGTGCTACTCGCTATAACAGCACTTGCCCCAACAGTCTGTTCAAGGCTATATGGGGGATCTTTGCCTCTGTTTTGCCATCACCTTGCACCCAGCCAACAGCAGCAGCTACATTGGCAGCTCTGCGGACGGCTCGCCGCCGCGGTCGGCTCGCCGCCGCGGTCGGCGTGACACCACAGTCAGCGTGCCACCGCGATTGACGTGCCACCGAAGTCAGTGTGCCACCGAAGTCAGCGTGCCACCGAAGTCAGCGTGCCACCGATTTCAGCGCGCCACCGCGAGCGCCCCACCTGGCGGATGACGTCCAGCATGGAGTGGCCGCCGTTCCAGGGCTTGGTCCAGCGCTTGAGGCAGCTCAGGCTCGCCATGCTGTGCCACTTGCGGTCCTCCAGCTTCTGGTGGAAGGCGGTGGTGAGCAGCACCACGCTGTCGTAGATGTACAGGCTGCTCACCTGCACGCACGTACATACGCATCCGCGCACGCACACACATGCACGTACGGACAGACACTACCGTAAATACAAGGTGGAACAACATGCGAGGACAAAGAATCACGTACAATAACAAAGGCTACACATATCCCTATAGAACACACATAACCACGTGCTAACAGAAATAGAAACCTTACGACCACACAGAAATCACACGTAAACTTAGACAGACTGATATATATATGCACAAACACATTCATGTATGCTCATCCAACTAAGTAGAACTCGTACATAAACAACACGTATACATATTGTCGTGTTCTTTGTGGTTGCATGCATTCCATACAATTGAGATATCTAATTGCAGAAGTGTTACGTGTGGCTGTATGCGGATCTATGTGCTTTGTGTAATATGAATTATCATCTCACCACCAGGTGGTGAGATGTTATCTGCCTCGTCTGGTATGCAGAGGAAGTCGTGGGTTCGATCCCGACCCTGACGCCTGCTGTATATTTGTAGTTTGCCTGCTTTCTCTCCACATTTACAATCAACATCATGCTTTTGGAGTATTTGGCTAATGCTATTAATCATCACGTGATGATGAGCCACTTCGTTGAGCTATTATTTGTGGTCGCCCGGTCGCTTCTGATAAAGAGCTACATAGCTCAGTGGGCCTTACCTGGTAAGGTAAAAATAAAAGAATAGTTAAGTAAAATTTTGATTTAAAGCTTTCGTGACTGCAGGGATTCATATTCTTGGTTCTTTCGGTAAAGTCACGTAGAAGGGAAACAATAAAATAATAAAAATACAAAACATTAATATTCTCACGACAGCAAATTTTCTTGCTGTGGTTTTCACATCTGATGATGATTGCTTGTGTTGCAGTCGAAACGTCGTGAGAATTTAAATGTTTTATATTTTTATTATTTTATTGTTTCCCTTCTATGTGACTTTACCAAAAGAACCAAGAATATGAATCCCTGCAGTCACGAAAGCTTTAAATCAAAATTTAACTGCCTCTACAGGGAGGGTTTCCACATAACTTTGAGATCCTTCAACAAACTCCAGGATAAGAACGCTCAGCTGATCGAGTCTCTCACCTTTCTGAAGAGATGCCGCGACTCTGGGGTAATACCAATCGCATTTACACTGACCTCTGTTGCTGTAACTTCTTCTAATGCGAAACGAATTATTTCCAGAACTAGCTTAGCTCTTATCTCAGAGAAAATCAGACTTGTATATGCGCCGAACTAGATCAGTTAGACAAGACACTCTACAAATCACACTTATCATTGACGGCAACAATGTCCACATCGGATTGGGAACATGTAGACAATATGACTGCCTCTTCAGCTGCCACTGTCGACCAAATGTAAGGACAACTTGATTTCCAAATTTAACCTCCTCTCCAACAAAAGACCGGACCCACACACCAAAAAGCTAGACGTTAACAAAGTCGTAATTAATCGCAGTAACAGTTATATTTCCGATGGTCTGAAATCCGTTTTAGCTAAATGTCTAAACTTTGCAGTCACACCTAAACACATACCAGTTAATGATATAATTGCCCAAGTAGACGTGGCTCTCAAGGGCCTGAGTCACATCGCTGCAGACGTAGCAAGATCTGAAATCGCTGCAACCCTCAAAAACGCTAAGATGCCAGCTAGCAACCTCAGCAAAGATGAGCGGTTTGAATTATATAAATTAAAAAAGAGGGATGACATTGTCATCCTCTCAGCCGATAAGGGCAATGCCACTGTGATCATGGATAAAATAGAATATAACAACAAAATCAAGAATTACTCAACGATGGCAGATATCCAAAAATAAAAAGATATCCCACCAACAGCCTCGTCATACAAACCAACAAAATCATTTCTGATTCAACCACATTAATTGATCAAACCAAACAGTTCTCGTTGAAATCTTCTGCTGCCAGGCCACCAAGATTATACGGCTTACCAAAAATACATAAAGTAGATACACCCCTTCGTCCCATCGTCTCTACTATCAACTCCCCCACCTACAAACTGGCTCGTTTTCTGTCTGAAATCCTGCGGCTTTTCACTGGAAAAACCACCTCTGCGGTACAAAATTCTACTCTACTGGCATCGACAATCACAGGTATTTCCTGTCCCCAGACGACCTGCTTGTCAGTTTTGATGTAGTTTCCTTATTCACCAAAGTTCCTGTACCTGACACCATCGCAATCATTGAAGACTTGGGTCATCAAGGACTAAACACTGAGGTACCCCCTCCTGGTGAAACACTGCTTAACCAATACATACTTCACTTGGAATGGAACTTTCTACAAACAAACTGAGGGCACCCCAATGGGCTCCCCCCTATCTCCAGTTGTTACCAACATTTTCATGGAGAAATTTGAGACTGACACCATCCAGACTGCCACTCTGCGCCCAACTTTATGGAAGAGGTACGTGGATGACACTTTTGTCATCTGGCCACATGGCTGGCCTGCTCTAGACCAATTCCTCGACCACATCAATTCCATACACCCAGCCATCAGATTTACCATGGAAGTCGAAAAAGATGGCAAGCTACCTTTTTTGGATGTTCTAATAAAAAAGAGACCTGATGGTTCAATGAGCCACTCTGTCTACAGGAAAGCTACCCATACGGATGCTTACCTGAAACCGGATTCCCACCACCATCCATCCCAGAAGAATTCCCTCATCAAGACTCTGCACCATAGAGCCCAATGCATATCCGACCAGGAACACATAGCCAGTGAACTCAAGCACGTACACCAAGCTCTTAAGGCTAATGGTTACTCCGACTACACAATCCACAAAGCTATCACTCCAACCATGAAGAAGGACCCTCTTGAGGAGCCATTCAAAACCATCACTTTACCCTACATTGAGGGGATCACAAAAAAGATCTCCACAATCTTGAATAAACACAAGATCCAGGTCTGCTTCAACACATTACATAAAATCCATGATCTGGTTCCGTCTGTAAAAGATGTGATTCCGGACATGCAGTACCCTGGCGTTTACAAACTAAGTTGTCTCTGTGGTCGTAGTTACATTGGAGAAACCAAACGACATGTCTCGGACCGCATCATTGAACAGAAAGCAGACCTAAAACACAGTAGGACCAACAGCTCGGCCGTGGCAGATCACTGTTATAATTCAGTAGGCTCACATGATATTGACTTCTCCAAGACAGATGTTCTCTGCAAGCCATCTGGCTACCATGAGAGATTCGTTCATGAGGATAACCACATATACAAACACAGAGACAATTTCAACCGAGAAGATGGATTCTGGCTTAGCAATCATTGGAAGGATTTAATAAACCATTTCGGGTCTTAATTGATTGTTCACGCTTACGGTGGCTTTCAGACCGCATCCATTATTTTCGTCTTCCCCCTCCTCTTTTCCGAACATAGATGGACTCGTCCATCTGAATAACTGCCAAATCGCTCTCCGTGGTGCTAACGTTAAAAAAACCGCCACTTTTTTCAAATTTTTTTGCTGTGGTTTTTACACTTGATGATGGTTGCTTGTGTTGTGTTGCAGTCGAAACGTCGTGAGAATTTTATTGTTTTATATTTTTATTATTTTATTGTTTCCCTTCTACGTGACTTTACCGAAAGAACCAAGAATATAATAGTTAAGTAGTTTAAATAGTAGTTTAAATAATGCCCTTTAGCCAGGGGAGACTCGGTGAGTCTCAAAACTTTGTTTTCTCTCACGAGAGGCCTTTCACCGGCATGTTTGGTAAATTTAATCAACGAGTTTGTGGCATGTGGGAGGGAACTGGAGTACGTAGAAAAAAAGAAAGAAAAAAAACATGCCAATTGATGAGAGGAAATCATGTTGTCCACACTTAAAATTCAAAAAGCTACCGCTGTCCCGCCATCGCCTAGTCACCTCGCAGCCCGTGCCTACTCAAGCAGTCTGGCCATCCACTGCTTGTGAAATGACACGAACGACGAACTACTAGAAAACAGTTTTTATTAGCACACAGTAACAATACTAGTTCCGGGCTTCCTGCTTGATCTCGAAGCTCGTCCCTTCTCTCAAACGTCACCTCAACCTTGTGCTCTGCCCTTTTATATCATTCGACCCCCCCCCCTCACCTAATGTTTTTCCCCTGGCCAATCCCTGTCCTTCCCTTCTAACGGATCCCAAGCGTCGCCTCTGGATTCCACTTTGTTTCCCGCCTATTCTCGTTAAAAAAACCTTTTCCTCCAATCACAGCAAAAGACTGCCCTACGACTAATCACCGTGAAGGTCTCTTTACGCAAATCGGAGACCTTAGGCCTAATTTTGAATAACCGTTAGGCTGCACATTGGCTTGGGGTGAGTGTTTGTTAATTTCGGTAAAATCACTTGTACTCCACCACGTTTGCATGGAGCCAAGGAAACTCAAGCTCCACAGTCGCGTCGCTCTCCCTGGCACCGCGGACGTCTCCATGTATTTTAGTCAATTCAATTTGGATGCCTCTTTGGGCCGGAGCCCAAATTGCTTGGGCCAAATTTAACTTCTCTGAATTCCTAATGCAATAATTGCTGCAGGATTGAGGAAATAAATCATCGCACGTGTTGGATCTGAAAATACGGTCAGTTGGTGAGAAGACATTTAATTAAAAGATGTATTTATCGTACAACGATAAAGATTTAACGTTGTTTTTAATTTGCCAGCAATGTGGGTTTTCATCTTCTGCTCACGAGTAATTCTGGGACAGTCTTACTTGGAAGGAGTGTTTTTGGGAGAGTATTGCCCAAAACTCAAGTGACGACTTTAGTAACTTGAAAGATTAAGGAAATGCCACGATTTTTTAAATAAACTCCTATTTTTTTTGTTTACCAAAGCCGCTCTTACAATTTGACACTTTGCTAGTATCTATAGTTCTCGCCTGGCTAAATAGACTCGAATTTACTTGAACTCCGTTTGTCTTTCAATTGGAATTATAGACAGGAACAGTGCCCTCCAGATCATTCGAGTTGATGTGGTGCAATTGAGACCAGCTTTTGAACTCCTCAATCCTGATGTGACAGGCCACATTCAGGGTGATTTTTAGTTGCCAGCATTAAACAAATACAAGGTGGGCCATAAGTAACGACCTGATTTGAAATAGCGGTATTTTGTGTTAAAATGTTTTGTTGACTTTTTTTGCAGAAATAAAGAAGCATGAAAGCTTACGATGAACCAGAAGACACCTCAGCAGCGTGCAAGAATAGTTTAAATTGATTTCAGAAACAATTGTTCAATTTTGATTTAAAGCTTTCGTGACTGCAGTGATTCATATTCTTGGTTCTTTCGGTAAAGTCACGTTGAAGGGAAACAATAAAATATATTGTTTCCCTTCAACGTGACTTTACAAAATATATTGTTTCCCTTCAACGTGACTTTACCGAAAGAACCAAGAATATAACTGTTCAATTATTTTTACTTTTAAGACCCGAATTGCTCCAACTCCGCACCGTATTCGGGCGTTGATTTCCCGACTTCAAGGAATCAGGAACAACGGGCGATGAAAAGCGTCGTGTTGGCAGACCTCGAACCGGTCGATCTCCAACTTCTATCGAGCAAGGGAGGGAGAGCGTCAATAAGAAAAAAACCCCGAAGCATCGACGAGGAGATGTTGCGCCGCTCAATTGGGGATCGCACGATGGTCGCTGCGGCGAATCTTGGCACAGGACTCAGCTGGTGCAAGAATTGCAGCCCAGAGATCATCAAAGCCGCCCAGAGTACTCGTCTGCTTTCATTGAACTTGCAGACCAAGACGATTGCTTTCATTGCTAATTTAATGACGTCAGATGAAGCACATTTTCACCTTAGCGGCTTTGTCAACAAATCAAATTGCAGCTTATGGGGTTCGTACGTAATTATACTGGATCTCCATGAATGAAATAATTTTCTATCATTTAGAGTTTGTGTTTTTATGTAATTTTTGTAAAAGTTTTTGGCAGAACAAATCAGGTGGTTACTTATGGCCCACCCTGTATGATCACACAAGTTACCTGTGTGATTAGCTACAACCACACATCACGAGCAGCACACACAACCATACACAAAGAAGGTAGGTGGCCAGGCCCATGCCCGGCCACCTTTGTCTTCCCAGTGCTAATGTTTACACATTGCACCAGGTACTCATTTGAGGTTGAGTCGATCTATGGGAGGCCCAGGATTGGCTCCAAATATTCATCAGTGGTGTTGGCCGTGAGCGGGCCAGGCCCATGCCCGGCCACCTTTGTCTTCCCAGTGCTAATGTTTACACATTGCACCAGGTACTCATTTGAGGTTGAGTCGATTTATGGGAGGCCCAGGATTGGCTCCAAATATTCATCAGTGGTGTTGGCCGTGAGCGGGAATTGAACTTGGGTGGCTGGGTTCGTAGCGCAGCGAGCTAACCGCCGCATTCCCACTCTCCACAACCATATATATAAAAAGATCCCCCGTGTAGTCTTAACAGACTGTAGGTGCAAATGCTATGAGCGAGCACCTATAAAGACCGGCACGGCACACGAGGGGGTGGGTGGCAAACGCCACGCCCGGCCGCCTTTGCCTCCCTAGTGGCGATGTTTACACATCGCACCAGGTACTCATTTGAGGCTGAGTCGACCTAGGGAAGCCCAGGACCGGTTCAGATAATTCTCACCGGTGTTGGCCGTGAGCGGGAATAGAACCCGGGTCGCCAGGATTGTAGCGCAGTGCGCTAGCCGCTACACTACCACTCCCCAATCACACAGACACACACAGACACACCGCAGACTCCATGACTTGACGACGCAGACACATACACAACCACATTCACAAATTCAAGTGGGATGTTGAGAGATGGGCAAAGCGCTATAAATTTTACTTCGCGTGGCACGGATTTGATGCAGTCCTTACAGTAAATAATATAAATAATTGGCATCACCCTATTTATATTTATATCGTGGAAGAGTGTTTCAATGAAAAATAACCTTTGGTTGGATTGAAATGGGGGGGGGGGAGGGGGGAAACACACTTTACATAATGGATTTCTAGAACATTTGCAAATGGGATTGTATTTGAAGATGCGGGGAAACTGACACAATGCGACAAAGAAAACACAAACTTGGGCTGTGCGTTTGCAAGGAGATGCAGACGAGGTTGCATGCTGATGTACTTGGAAATTAGCCATCTCTGCACTTCCATAGCACAAAGAAAGATTTCACCTTCATGCGTGCGTGTGTGCGTGGGTGGGTGGGTGTGTACGTGTTGACAAAGATCCCCCGTATAGCCTCAACAGATTTTCTCGGGAAAGTGCTGTTCGACTTGACAATTCAAGTTCTAGACAAGCAGAGTGCACTCCAGATGATTGGAGTTGACCCATCCATTGACACCAGTTATTTAATGGATTGTGTTCTATCTGTGTGTGGGAGCGGCGGTGCAGTGGTTAGCACACTGCGCTACGAACCCGGCGACCCGAGGTTTAGCCAGTGTTCATATTAACTTGAATGTGTCTATGTTGTGTTGGTGGCAGACGCGTGCTTTACCTGGGAGGACATGTGGCTCAACTGGGGCGGAGGGGGTAATACGTGACTCGCCTGGGGGGGAGGGGGGGTAACTTGTGGCCTACCTAGCGGGTGGGTAGGTAACACGTGGCTCACCTGGAGGGGGGGTAACACGTGGCTCACCTGGGAGGGGGGGTTAACACGTGGTTCACCTGGGGGGAGTAACACGTGGCTTACCTGGGGGGGGGGGGGTGTAACACGTGGCTTACCTGGGGGGGGGGGGTGACACGTGGCTTACCTGGGGGGAAGGGTAACACGTGGCTCAGCTGGGGGCGAGGGGTAACACGTGGCTTACCTGGGGGGGAGGGTAACACGTGGCTTACCTGGGAGGAGGTAACACGTGGCTCAGCTGGGGGGGAGGGGTAACACGTGGCTTACCTGGGGGGGGGGGGTAATACGTGGCTCACCTGGGGGGGTAACACGTGGCTCACCTGGGGGGGTAACACATGGCTCACCTGGGACAAGGGGGTAACACGTGGCTCACCTGGGGGGTAACACGTGGCTTCTCTGGGGGGGGGGGGTAACACGTGGCTCACCTGGGGGGGTAACTCATGGCTTACTTGGGGGGGGGGGGTAACACGTGGCTCAGCTGGGGGGGATAACACGTGGCTGACCTGTGGGGGTAACTCATGGCTTACCTGGGGGGGAGGGGTAACACGTGGCTCACCTGGGGGGTAACACGTGGCTGACCTGTGGGGGTAACTCATGGCTTACCTGGGGGGGGGGGGGGGGGGTAACACGTGGCTCGCCTGGGACAGCAGGGTAACACATGGCTCACCTGGGACAGGGGAGTAATTCATGGCTCACCCGGGGGAGTAACACGTGGCTCACCTGGAGGGGGGGGGGGGGTGGGTAACACGTGGCTCACCTGGGACAGGGCGGTAACACGTGGCTCACCTCGGGGGTCATGTAGGCGGGATCCTGGGGGTCGCAGAGCGCCGGCGAGACGTGGTGCCCATCGCGCTCGCACCTGTGCGCAGGGTCGCGCGGTGCGGGGAACACCTGGCGCAGCACGGTGAGGCGGCCGACGGAGACGCGCGCCAGCTCCTGCACCTCCACCAGGCTCACCTCCTGCGCGGAGCGTCAAGCGCACTCCGGTCATCCTCGTGGCAGCGGCGGCTCATGGCTGGCGGCCCAACAAAGACGGCGGTCGCCGCATCGCGCACTTTCGGATGCGCTTCCGCGGCCGTCTGGAACGCTCTTCCTTCTGATATTGGTAAGCCACTGGAGCTGCGCACTTTGAAATCGTCTAAATTGAAAACTTATTTCTTTACAACTGCTTTTTGTGTTTCGTTTGTCGTCCTTCCCTTGCACCGCAGATTTAGCAAGGTTGGCTACGTATGGTGCGAAAGAGGTTCAATGTATATACATGCATACAAATTCGGGGACATAACGCAGGTAAGATAAATGATACTGACTGTTAATAAAAGTAAGTGCGCCTCGGTGCGACGCATCATGGCTAGAAGGGACGATGGACATTGGTCAAGAACAGTGACGGAGTTGGAGCCTAGGGATGACACCTGATAGGATCTTCCACCTAGGAGATGGAGCAACGAAATCGACACGCCTACAGATGCTAAGCAGAACTATGAGATGGCTTAGGGAAGCCTGCATCCAGCAGTGGATTGATCATGGCCGATGTCGATGTCATAAATAGTAACATAGCCATAATTAATGCACCCAGACCAGGAATTAAATTAAAGGATATCGATATGGTGGATATCATTTCACAAGCAGAAAATAATTAAAACACAATGTGTACTTCTCGTTCAATAACCACAAATTAAAGATTTGGCCCTTCCAGTTAAACAGCAACATTCCGCACAGCGGAAAGCTCGCAGAGCACAATTAAATTCCCCTCGGCAAAGTGTGGACGTTTATTGGACGCCTTCGTCGACTCAACATTTCTCCTCCCTTTGCCTCTTTTTCATCTCTGCACTCGCGCGCGTCAGGGCTCGCTCGCTCGTAAACGACAGGACGGCGGCGGCGGCGGACATCGACGACGCGCCAGCAACACGTGGTCATCCGACCGAGCGAGCCGCGTCATAATGGACCCCCCCTCGATAATAATGATCGCAACTCCCGGCCGACAGTTGCGTAATTGTCACCGAGACGGTGTCCGGGCTGACGACACAGGCGGCGGCGGCGGCGGCGGCGCCCGCCAGCGGTGACGCGGGCGGACAAGGGAACGGCAGTGCGGATTATCGACGGGTTTATTCGAGTGGCTCATCGACCCCCGCTGTTAGGAGCAATGATTTCTAGCCCCCCCCCCCTTCCTCCCTGGTCGTCAAAACCAGCGTGGGGGGGCACAATGCACAAACGCGAGGGGCTCTCAGTCGCAAGATGTTTTTTGCCCGTCGTGACCCCCCCCCTAACTCGCTCCCAAAGATCTTCGCAAACTCGCGCAACGCGGGCACGGGCGTTGAGGGATTTGCGCCGTGAAAAAGAATAATAATAATAATTACCGTTGGCCGAAAACACGCCAAAGGCAGAAATTAGTTTTTGATTGATTTCGAGTTGCTGGGCTTTCTGATTATTTTGCGCGCCATCTGGCCCATCATGCGATACTGTGATTGAGGGGCCCTCCGAGTGCCGCTTGCTACTTGGCCTGGCCATGCCTGTGTGCCTGCGTGCGTGCCCCGTGTGCGTGGATGCACGTTTGCATGCACTTCCCGATGTACTTCTCTTTTATAACTCGAAGGCCAGCCGAGCGAGATTGGACGCGGATTTCAAGACGGAAAACTCCGTGTAGCCGACAACAGTTAGTTCTGCGAGCACTTTCAAATAACCTAGGGCTGGCATTGTGACGGGCCCCGGGGGGAACAATAAAAGCGGAGATCCATTTGTCTTCAAACCGAACACGCGGTGGGAATGGACACGGCGGCAACGGTGTTGGCACAGTCACGCTCGCGGATGGAGCGCTTCAGAGGGCAGCAATACAAGAGGATCCGAGTGATTTTCCTCCTGAAGGATGTATCTCTGCAAGACACGACTTGAAACAGGCCTTCCCCCACCCCCCTCCCCCCCCATGGTTTTCCTGTCCCGGTCAGAGGAAGCAACTGTCTGCTAAGTAACTAGCACAGGCCGATCCCTGCAAGAACAACAAACAATAAACAAGCGACTACCACCCTTTGCCCAGAGAGAGAGAGAGGGGGGAGGGTGGGAGGTCAAAAAGTTTTTGACGGGTAGGGTAAGACAAAAAAAAACGAAAAATGCACGTGGGCGTACACTCGCCGAGTTCCGGTACTGGTGCCAGTGAGTTCAAGAACGGGAGCCAGTAAGGTCAAACCGCTGTCGTGCTCTGCTATTTTAACAAATGTAGAAGGGATTAATAATCGTCTTCGTAATAGGCTCGGTTGTTATAATAAAAGAGAATGAGGTGGGGTTGGTGAAGCAGTCATTATCGCGCTGTGCTATGAACTCGGCCACCTGCGTTCGATTCTTGGCCCGGGCTAACATCAGTTGGTGCGTGATGCTAAGTATGAATAAAAAAAAACCATTTCCATTGTCTCGCCTGCAAACAAGTGCATAAGCGTGCACGCACAGGTCGGTGAAATTGTTTGACAGATATGAAACACTCACAAGTGAGATCATAAAACACAACAATAGCAATGACTGAATATGTTGTGCACAGATGCTGCGTGAGATCTACAATTAGGGGGCACCGTTGCGCTCACGGAATGGAACACTGTCTTCGAGATGGAGCAAAGAAAGCAGTTCGGATTCAGGTGCCAGGTGAATCGTTCCAGCGCAGAATCGTGAGAGGTGTCGGCGGCTAGGGTGGGAGGTCTTCAGCCAGCAGTGGACTGACCATGGCTCATGACGATGCTAACGACGTGAATTGTCGGGAGTGTGATCTGAGAGAGACGCCTTCATCTGTTCACCGCACCTCGTTGTTTAGGGGCATCAATGCGGAGAGACGGATATGGACGCGGGGCTTGGACCTGTCCCACTGGAACCTCTTATCAGTGGACGAGGCGTTATCTTCCAAGCGCACATCGCTATCTGGGTGTCCGAGCGGAAATCGGCAGAAAAAAAAACTGCAGACGAACACGCACGCGGGCGGCTTTAATCACCTTCTGCCGCTCGTATAATTAAAGCAACGTCACATGTAGAAAAAAAAGTTGTTTTTGTATTCGTCTATTTACTCTTAAACGTGTTTATTAACGCCCATCTGTATCCGCCGCCGAGCATCTCCGTGGTGCAATTAGTGTCTGGGAGTTTGACTCGTGGGTTCAAGCGTACAATAATGACAAAAAAAAACATGGATAGTTTTTTTTTGTTTAACCAAATTCTTACAATATCTAATTCCCTTTTGGCTCCGGTGCAAACATTTGTTGTGTTGGCGTGTCAACATTACGTTAACAGATTCGTGGGAGGCACGGTGGGGGAAGAGCAAATAATGAAATAAAAGCATTGTAACCTGTCAGAAAAAAAGTCCCGGGAGGGGATGGCATTCGATGTTGTCACGTGAGATGTCGCGCTCCTCAACTCAAATAAGTCCCCCACCAAATCGTCCGCCGCCAAATAGTCCACCACCAAAGTCCGCTACAAAATCGTCCACCACCAAATAGTCCACCACCAAATATTCCACCACCAAATCGTCCACCACCAAAGAATACACCACCAAATAGTGCGCCACCAAATAATCCACCACCAAATAGTGTGCTGCCAAATAATCCGCCACCAAATAATGCACCATCCAAATAATCCACCACCAAATAATCCACCACAAAATAATCCACCACCAAATAATCCACCACAAAATAGTCTGCCACCAAATAATCCACCACCCAATAATCCACCACCAAATAATCTGTCGCCAAATAACCTGCCACCATTTTACACGGGAAAGAACCGGACACCAGCACGTCCTATGGAAGGGGTTAATCTTTTTTTAAATTAATATATACTTTAATTTGACCCTTCTGGTACCTCGGCTGTAACGGCTAATGTTAGGAATTCTGGATTTAACGACGCACCAATTCGTCGATTCATTAATTTCTGTTCCTAAGTATTCCGTGGTACGTGCCTTAAACGGCGCCTGTGTGCAAATCGATGTTTATCGATTGACCAAAAATGGTATGCAAACTCCAGGCTATTTTTCAAAATTTGCGGAAAAATGGAGCGAACACGACCGAACTCACAATATATTTAACAAACAAATAAAGACGAATAATACAAATGAGACGGTTAAAATTAGACAACCAAAAAAACGATTGTGGAATTAAAACGCGGCTCTGAAATCTCGACACACTGGCCACAGCGTCCCGTGCACAAAAATGAGGTGGACATTCCCACACTTGACCACACCACGAGACCCCCGCTGATGAACCAACCGCGGTGCACCCCTGTTGCTCCGCTGGTTGCACGGAGGTGGTGGCGGTAGAGAGGGATTGAAGAAACGAGCCGCATTGTTTCAACCGTCTGCGCCAGGAGATAAGAGTCGAACCGACGACCTCTGGGATTGCGGGTTCAGTGTCCTCAACCACTGCAGGATCCCAAGGAATAAATAAGATTTAAAATTTCATGCCGCACGTAATTTCAAAGCGGGACATTTGGAATGGCTTGAATGCGTACTCTGGAAAGAACCAAGGCAGTAAGGTCATTGCCACATGGTATTTATTTACTGGGCAAAAGTTATTTAATATTTTATTTGCCTTCCCAAATCATTTATCATTCTGACCTGGGGTCTAAAAATATAGTAGTTGGAGAAATAATAAGCTTCTTCTTCCCCCCCCCCCATCGCAAGGATACGGCATTGAATGCAAATTGATATGCCTGATATATATTAACTGATATATATTAACTGGCCTCTGAAGAGTGAATTACGAGCGCATGCTCCTACAAGAAGTGTGTGCATTTGCTGCAGAGATGTGCGCACTTTACGCGTACATTTGAATAATTTATTTAATATCACACCAGCGCCTAACACAAGATGCATGCTCACAGTCCCCTATTTACATCTGCACGCTCTCCAAAATAAGCCGCTCGTGAGCGGGTGCGTGAATTAATTGATTGACAGTGAAATTCCAACAATTATTTTAAAAAAAATAGGTGAGCAGACAATA